TTTTTTAGTTAAAAAAAGATGGTGGAATCGTGCGTAATTGGCCTCTCCATTGTTTTTCAAAAACACTTTTACATGAAACAGCCAATTAAAGATTGTTAAAGAGGGGAGTTTGCATGATTTAAATCTTCAACTATGTCAAGAGGCTTGTTCTTCATTTTTACGTAAAGGCAATGTTATAGATTTTTAATAGTAGTTAAAGGGGCAAGTGGATGAAGAGGTTATGTTACATTTAAATTAAAAATATTGTAAATCAAAATTTGTTATTGCACAAAATAGGTAATGTTTAAACCATGTTTATTTACAAAATGTTTATAAAAAATATGTTTAAATAAAAAATACTTCCGTAAAACTTACACACTAAAGTTTAATGATTAGCAACAGCTTTATTAAGCAAATCTTAAAAATCGTATAAATATAGATAAAAGTAGCGTAATTTTAAGTAGTTTTAATGGCATTTAAAAAAATAAAAACCTGTTAAAAACATTTTAACGTCGTTATTTCTGAAAAAAAGTAAGTTTTAAACTTTAACATGGTCGTCGCGGCGCGAGACTTGATATAATATAATAAAAGCCAGGTCACTTATTGTGCGTTTTATAAGTCTGCAGTAGCAGTTCCGGGTTGGGAGGAGGTAATTAACTTTTTTTTTAATAAATTACACAAAAACAAGAAAATATGACATTTTTTTACGAATCGATTTTAATTAAATCAGATTTTTAACCATTCTGGGTAAAAAAATATTTAAATTCATTTAATTAAACAAATTTAAACCGATTAAGAATTTTTAATTAATAATAATTACCGCGGCCTTTTTGTTTTGATTTGATGATTATTGTTTAAACTGCATTATTGTAACCTTCAATTCGAGTTTTTTGTTTGCCCAATTTTCTTTTCGAAATTTTTTTAATGGATCCGACCCATTTTTAAGGAACAAAATTTGATGACAGTCCTAAAGCAAATTTTTCCCAAATTTTGATTTCCGGTAAACGAACAAAATTAGAAGGAAAAATCGAAGAAAATGAACTGGAGCAAAAAAGGTTAAAAATTTCAAAAAAAAGCGATTTACAGAAGGGTATTTCCATTGTAACGGGTCAGTGGCGGCTGGTTTGTTTTGATAATAAAATATTTGTTCATATACATAATATGTATATGAACAAATGTACATCAAAAAATTTCCAGTATAATTCATCCGTTGCAATGGTGATCTATCAAGAATACACGTTGAGATTGGTTTAAAATTACAGGTGTGGAATTTTTCGCATAATCCGAAAATGTCGTCAAAATTTGTAAAAGTAAAACAGTTTTTGAGATATACCTAGTCAATTTTCCATACAATATGGAATTGACTATATCTCAAAAACTGCTCTATTTTTATAATTTTTGACAGTATTTTCGGATTCAGGGTACAATTTTACATAAGAATTGGCTATTATATAGGGGATACCATGCTATCCCATGGGATACCATGGTATAAGTAAAAAAACAGCCACTAATAACTGTAGTAATTAGTCATTTTTGACTAATTCATTTTTAGAGAGTACACAGCGTGCACCAAGTATACTTCTATGTATGTGTAGGTATATTTTTTATTTAAAGGGTTAAAAGGTCGTTTATATTTAACGTGACCAACTTTCAAAAATTAAAAACCAGGACACAACATGCCCTTCCTCGCCCTTCCAAAAAATAACAAAAATTCTTTTTTTGTTTATTATTTGAAAAAAAAGATGTGCTGATAATTCACAAAAATTCAGATTTTTAAATTAATTTTTAACCTGAGCCCTGACCACTTTTAATAAAAAATACTAAAAACGTGAGAAAAACTCATAATTTAAAAAAAATCAAACGAGGTTTTTTCTTACTTTTGTACTATCCTAAAGGTCCTCCAAAAAATTCATATTTTTTTATTATTTTTTTACCTAAGCCCCGACCACTTTTAATAAAAAAATTAGAACAAATCCTAAAAAAGTGGAAAAACTCATAATTAAAATAAATTCAAATGAGGTTTTTTCTTACTTTTTTACTATTCTAAAAGTACTCCCAAAAATTCAAATTTGTAAATTAATGTTTAACCTTAGCCCCGACCACTTTTATTAAAAAATTTAAAACAAATCCTAAAAAAGTCGGAAAACTCATAATATAATATATCTTAATGTTTTATTATCCTGAAGCTACTTTCAAAAATTCAGATTTGTAAATTAATTTTTAACCTGAGCCCCGACCACCATAAAAAGAATTAGAACAAATCCTAAAAAAGTGAAAAAACAGTTTTTTTTTTTTAATTTTTTTTAAACGTGTTTTTTTCTTACTCCTTTACTATCTTGAAGGTACTCCCAAAACTTCAGATTTTTAAATTAATTTTGAACCTGAGCCCTGACCACATTTAATAAAAAAAATTAGAACAAATAATAAAAAAGTGGGAAAAAAATTCTAACGAGTTTTTTTTACTTTTTTACTGAAGGTAAATTTAGATTTGTTAATTAATTTTTAGCCTGAGCACCAACTACTTTTAAAAAAATAAAAGAACAAATCCTAAAAAGTGGGAAAAAGTCATAATTTTTTATATATTTTTTTTTCAAACTAGTTTTTTTCTTACTTTTTTTCTCTTCAAAGTTTTAGATTTTTAAATTAATTTTTAATCTGAGCCCCGACCACTTAAAAAAGTCGCTAATAACGTCAATAATAAAAAAAAATAGTATAAACCAGGACCAAATCTGAAAAACCAGGACAAAACCAGTACACAATTAAAACCAGGACACATTAGCAAAAACCTGAACCTGTCCTGCGTAACCAGGACGGTTGATCTCCTTATTTATATTAGACAAAAGTTGTATAATTGCAAGTATATTAAAATGGCATTTAAAAATTGGAAAAAAATCAGCGGTTTTTAAATAATTTGAAAAAAACGGAAAACCTGAAAAATCGTTATAACTTCGTTATTGGATTTTGAGATACCATCACCATATTTTGTTTTTTTATGGCCGCCATATTGGAATTTTACATGGTTAGAAAATCAAGGAATCCAACGATGGCGGCCATTATAAAAACAAAAGATGGTAATGGTAACCCAAAACATAGTATCAAAAAATTGGATGAAAATGTAGATTATTGGACGCTAGAGGCCACAAGAGTATTAGAAAAAATATCCATGAATAGTACGAAAACCTATATATATATCGTACCTACCTTTATCAACAATAGTGTGTTTTCTTAGATAATAGTATTTTTGACGTACTATCGGGGGGATTAGTAGTATATAGTACACAAGGCTTTAAAAATGGTATAAATATTTTCTATCCTAATAGTACGGTTGGCAACACTGATTTAATCCGCAGGGGGTAGATATGATACCGCGAAGTTGGGGTTAAGTGGCTTAAAACGTTCACTACTCATGACGTATTAAACGTCACGTATATATCAGTCATAGGCTACGTTTGCCGGGTGCGCGTGACGGATCCATCCGTCATTGGTTCCAGTGTGTTTTCAAGTGTGAAAACATAGCACTGCGGAAATCGAGCTTATTTTACATGAGCGTGGTCGTAAGTGTTTTAGGAATTAAAAAATATGTTTGGTCGAGTTAGTGATAACAGCGGTGTTGCCAAACTAAATTTGAAAATAAACGATCAGCTCCTGGATCTTGCGCCTAATTTTAGGTAGCAACGAACGTGTTAACCTCCCCAACTTAAGCATTTCTTATAAGCCCCAAACAATTCTTGCAAAAAATGACTATGCTAAATTTTTTTCGAAAACACCCTCTTTCGACAAAAGTATATTTTAAACATATACCTATATATAACTCCAGTTAGAGGTACATGATTTTAAACATTTAAAATTTCCATGGAAAATATTAACAGTGAAAGTATGCCGATCTTTATAGAAGCTTAAAGCTTAAATATTCCAATCTAAAATTACGACCATCTTAAATGACAACTAGCTAAAATAAGAATAGGCTAAAATTAATACAAGCTAAAATGATGCACTTTTCGGAACACCATGTATATTACATATTGCCTATTACCTATTATTAGACAATAATTAACCATTACCATTACGGCCAAAAGACTTAAATTACATTTTCTCGATGCTCTAAGAACGAAAGTTTATTTTCATTTTCAACTCTCAAGTGCGTCTCTTTGTTGCTTATTTAGTTCATTAGCTCTGGCGAGATCTGAGGAATCTGAACGCGCTTATACACAACTAACTAATTAGTTTTATAGCCTTTTTAACAATAAAACAAAATATTTTCAACAACTCTACTGTTAATAGCCTAAGCGGTAGACCAACAAAAAATGATATCCTCTCTTGGTTTGTTAGTATACACTTCACAGTGATTTTTTTCAAAATTGTTTATTCAATAAAAAAAATGTATTTTTTTTCAAGCGGCCATGATATACAACCTTATACATACGTATGCATGTATAAAGATAGTTGAAGTGCGTCTTTTTCATTAGACGTCAAATAATAAATTTAATTTAGAATTTCATACAAAGCAATCACGATGTATTAATTATATTAATTATAATCGCACGGAATATTTAGTGATTATTTATTAAATTTTAATTGAACGAAATAAAGAACAACTAGTTTATTAGTATAATATTATGATGATAGACGAGTCGCCAATGTCGAAACAAATGTCAGTACGTCAAAATTAATTCAAGCGCAGCATTTTGACAGAGCAGTGTTAATTTTTAGTTTAGGATATTTATCGGCATTGTAAGTAAGGGTTATAAGTTTTTTTAGTTTTTATCAATAATTTGTAATGCTTTTAGCCAAAATTTTATACCACATGAGTTATAAGTAAATAAAATAGTTCTATTGCTTATCCTATTTATATTACGCTTTTGAAAAAAACATTGTATATGATATTTGGAGTAGAAGCTCTTTTTGTGCTTCGTACAGTTGCCTGCCTCAGCTACGCTTCGGCCGTGAATCTCTGTACTCACCACAAAAAGAGTCACTTCTGCTCCTTATGACATAATCTACTATTTTTATTATTGTTTTAGGAGCCTAGGTCTACAGTCTTCTATATCAAACAACGTGGATCCTCATATACCTCACAAAGAAAGATGTAGTAAATTGGAATATCTCATAGACAGTCAAAAAAGGCTTTGTTCTCAACATGAAAAAATCTTACCGGTAAGAATTTGTATTTATAATAAGTATTATGTTTATTTGTTTCTTAATAATAAAACAATTTAATAATTTTAAATCATATCATGTGATGCATAACTTTTGCAACTATGTAAGTAGGTATAGTTGTTTGATACAGTACTTTACAATTAATATAATTCGGCATATATCTATGATACGTTGTCCGACAACGGTTGTCGCAACATTGGTAAAGACCCCGGCTCGGTTGCGTAAATTTTACTTTTTAAAAAGCTCCACAGAAAAAAGTCTGGACTAATCAAATCAGGTGCTTCATCTTGTTGGAACATTACTTGGTCTTTCCAAGTACCAGACATCGTTTTTAACAATTTTGACCAGAAAGGGATGAACTAAATCTTCAAATTATTTCAAATACGCTTTTCCTGTCAGGTAACCATCAAGAACCATACTATATCCGAAAATACCTAGTTTATAGGGAGTTTAAGTGTGGACCTTGTACAATGTACAGGTGCAAATCCAAGGGTCCAGACCAGACAATGTACATTGTCCAAAGTGTGGACCCTTGGATTTGCACCTGACCAGTAGCGATAATAATTATTTTATGGTGATTGACAGTTAAGCCTAGGGAGAAAAATTGTCATAATATTTTTAGTATTTGTTTGATAGTTGTAGTTGACGGTAGTAAAGTGTAACAGTTGTCTACACAGTGCATGACTTGGTCTTGAGCTTACTCTCTCAAAATGAATAATAATTATCGTCAACAGCATTATCCCGGGCATTTAGTAGTCAACTCCCACGTAAAATTGTCCGCTAAATCCGAAAATGATGGCAAAATTATTAAAGTAGAACAGTTTTTAAGATATAGTAAATTTTCCATACAATATGGAATTAAATATATTTCAAAAACTGCTGTACTTTCATAATTTTTGACGGTCTTTTCGGATTCAGGGGACAATTTTACATAATAAAAAGCTGTTAAATGTCCGGGATACAAATTGCTGTGGAAACTAGTCATTTTTGACTAATTTATTTTTAGAGAGTAGTCACTAAAAACCAATTGTAGTTATTATATTGTTTATATGTTTTTTTTTGTTTTCATTAGAGTATTTTTATTAATAAATATTTTTTGTGATTCTGTTTTTTTGGTAATTTAATAAGCAGTTTTTTACATTTTCAATTACATAATGCCAGTTTGTCGAAAAATGTATATTTTTAAAATTTTACGGCTTTAAATTAAAATATTTAGTGTATTATATTTAAATATAAAAGGGGCCCACCAAAGAATGCTGCACGTAGGCGCCAGACACCCCACACTCTTCTGAAAAAATGTTTAAAATGGTATAAAATCTATAATAATATGGATTTTTTAAATACAAATTTTAATTTATTTATAAATTATAATAGATCATAAATTGCACCACTTTAATTTGAATTATCTCAAATAGAGGGCCCAGGAGGCGGGTGAAGCGACACGAAAAACTAACTTTTTCACAAACTTTAATTTAAATTCTGTTTGCGCCGAACGTGTCTATTTAATGTCATTACAAACTATTATAAATTTGGTTTGGGTCCAATGTCTAATAACTAAGATATTGGTATACCCAAAATCCACCAGCCCGCGTTCGGACATTAGCCAAAATAACGGGCGTTACCTTGCGCAGAACTTGGCAATTAAAAATTGACAAACAATAAGTTTTAAAAATTCCACATAATAGATTTTTTACGGGCCATAATTTGGTTTAATTTGTTTAAATATTCGTATTAGTTTCTGAGATCAAAAATAAAAACGAAACAATTTAAAATTAAGAAAATATATTTTTAAAAACTTAATTCGAAATAACTTATTATTAAGAAATGTTACCACAAAATTTATTTGGCTTTAATAATACTATTCATATATAAAAAATAATCATATACAATGAAAAATTTATAATAAATAAATAATTATTATCCACGGTTACTAAACATGCTCGCGTAACTTTCGCGTAAAAAAGTGATCAATAGTTTCATACATTTTCATTTTTTGTAGGTACATAGGCTTATGTCTTATAGCATAAGGAAGTTTTTCTGACAATTTTTTTCATCTGTCATCTATCAAAAGTAGACCAATTTAATTGTTTATTGGACTAGTATACTACAATTTGTATACAAATTGCAGCGAATTGTTCTAGTAAGTAATTGAGGTGAATATTTTTGACAAATGAAAATCTTTTAAATACAACTCGTAATCAAAAATTTAAGTCGAATATTTGGGGGTGTGATATAGCGAATTTTACCGGTTTCTCAATAAACAGTGGAAATCCGAATGAATAAATAAATTACAGTCCCTGTAAATATGAGTATGAGTATAAGAACGTATGGCAGGCCCCATCGGCTACGCCTTACACTGATCTTTTAGGGTTATTTTACCCCCTTTCGGTTCTATACGTATCCCGCCACTGCACCGCGTTACCTGTGTTTGTGGATCCGAATTTTCACCCCGGCAGGTAATCTTCCCTAGGAGGTCGTGGATGACAGTTTCGATGGTGAAGGTCATTCCCGGAATTTTGTCGCCGGGCCGACCATACGCCCGATTTAGGATTTGTAGGACAAGGAGGGACAACAGTTGGTTTTTGGGGGCCTTGAACTGACCCAAAACTAAGTTCAATCCGGACTCCCCCTCAACCCATTCAATTGGCGTTCATGATTGAGGCATGGGTTATTAGTACGTTACTTGGACATCCTTGCTGGTCTTGTATTTCATCCGGGTCTCTGTCCGGTCTGCTGGAATTCGGAGTCTGCTGCACGCAGTTGTTTGCCCTACTGGGGTGTTGTTTTTACTTCCCACACACTCTTAGAAACACTTAAAATGACTCGTTATGAGTTATTGACTCTTTGTCCCAGCGGCAATCGCTAATAATAATGGTTAGACAAATTTTACCGAATGCAACAGTCATTATTGGGTTTGGTTTAAAGTTTTTTTAGAATAGTTTTTGTTTACTCACCCAAGCAATCCCTATAATTATTTAACTATTAAGTAGGAACTATTTATTGAAAACGACTATTCGTTGTTTTCTTGTTGTGTTAAAATTGTGTTTACGTTTCAGTGGCGGCTGGTGGATTTTGGGTATACCGATATCTCAATAATTAGATATTGGACCCACACCAAATTTATATGAGTTTATAATGACATTAAATAAACAAGTTCTGCGCAAGCAGAATTTAAATTGAAGTTTGCGAAAAAAAGATTCCAAACTTGTTACAGAATATACTATTCTATATCCGTGAGAAATGTAGTAGTTTCCGCACTAGTTATGTCTATGTCTGTATCAGGGGCGTAGCTACCGCGGTATCAGCCGTATCAATGATACGGGGCCCCCGGCTAGGTGTGCCCCCGATTGGCTTCGACATGCGTAAGCAAAAATATATTTCCCACAAAAAATTTAGGCATGAAATTAAATAAATAAATAATATTATTTAATTGTTTATACTTTATTTATGTAATTAATTTTCCTGAATACCCTTCTGTTCCAACGAGGACGTGAACTCGAATTGTTTCTGCCCGCACCTTTCCGCTATGCGTTGTCTGCGCATATTGTTCTGTGCTCTGCGCCGCATACTGAGTCTGCTTTGCGTGTTATAATCATAGGTTATATTAATAGCAAATTAGAAATAATTATTAGCGTTACAATTATTTCAAATGACTTGCCTTTATTTTATAATATAAACCTTTTAAAAGATTTAGAAGAACGGTAAATGTCTAAAACCAGACCAAATTTTAAAATTTGCCTGTACATAAAAAGCTATACATATATTATTTATTAAATTATAAAAAATTGGTAAATGCAATAAAATGATACCCTAAACATTTGTTTTTGTTGGATCAAATAAACTTTGGACGTGACACCCAGAAATTATTTGCCAGCAGCTTTTCCCGCATAAGGGCCCCTACCAGATTTTTGATACGGGGCCCCCCCGAGGCTAGCTTCAGTGACGGCTATAGATGGATGCATTTAAAATGCATTAAAAATGGAATTACTGTAACACAAAGTACGATTCAACTCTTATTCCAAGCTCTTGATCCCATTTTTAATAAATGAGATTTACACTTGAGATTTAAATGAATGAAATATACTTACTTGAAAATAGCTAAATCTGTCAGTTTCACTTTAAACTAGGTAAACAATGTCCAGTGAATGTATGTGTTTACTGGGTTTTGACGTAGGTAATGGTTACTATTTAGTAATAAATTCGTAAAATGTACCAATTGCCAGAAAAAAGTAGCAATTGACAAAAAATAGTAGCAATTGCCAGAATAAAGTCGCAATTTTCAGACAAAAGTTGCGCTGGCCATAAAAAAGTGGCAGTTGCCTTTTAACTTTCATAGCACAGTTTTGCAATAATAAACGATAATATTGACTGTGTCCATTGGACACTGTCCAACCAAAATTATTAATACCGGGAACGGAAATCCAAACAGTAAAGGTGGGAGAGACTAAGCAACCACTGTTGATCGATAGGGTTTGCTGAGTCTCCCCCACCTTTACCGTTCAGGTTCTCGTTCCCGTTCTTATTACCGGGCTGTTGTGCAGCGGTTTTAACACTGTTTTTAAACAAAAATGTTTAATTTAAGGTTTTGTTTTTCAACTATCGCCTTTTTTCTTTTACATGTGGCCGGGTTTTAAGAATTTATTTTCTGTCTCTACTAAGTAGTTGAAGCCTATACTACTGTGCTAATTAAGCACAGAGGTAAATAAAGGACAAACGATAATTTGTTTGTTTTGTCATTTATTACTTAATAATATTATTGCAGTTACAGCCTCTGTGCTTAGCACAGCAGCATAGGCGTTTAGAGTATACACTTCGTACTAGGTAATGAAGCTACTTATATTATCTTCATAATTTTGTTGTCTAAAAATGTTACTTTCAATGGTTAGTAAACCTAAATCGTTGAGCCTGTCTTTAAACATGTAGGTTCGAAACCTGTTTTTGATCAACTTTAATTTTGAAAATGACCTTTCTCCCCTGCTGTTTGTGACCATAAGTGACAGGTACATTCTTAAGGCAAATTCAATATTAGGAAAACAACCTTTAACGTTTTTTTTTCTAAGATAAGTTTATACATCCAATAAATATATTGTATACAATGTCAACGTCAATGTCAACTTTCTATTTGAAATAAAACCTTACCTGTTGGTTTGACCACAACAATAGTTATTTTTGTGAGAGACCCTTGAAGGATCTCTAATTTTTAACACAGCAATAAGTATGCTCACTATAGTATATATATGTAGAGCCAGTTCAGAGTAAAACCGAATATATCTATATATATATATATATATATATATATATATATATATATAGGGCGTGGCCTCGCCTCCCTCCAACGCGCGACACAGTAGCTAAGCAAATAGCCTGCATCGCTAATGAGATTTTTTGCATTATTATCATTTAATCTTTTAAGTCCTTACCTGCTCGACCTTTCGTCATGTCGTTTATCACACAAGCTACTGTGACGCGCCTTGGAGGGAGGCGAGGCCACGCCCCATATATATACAGGGTGTCCCAGAACTCGCGCCACAGAGAAAAAGGGGGCGTACCGATAGCAATGGAGATGCCAAATTTAAAAATAAAAAATTTCTAGGTAATAGTGTAATCGAATGAGAGCAAAAAAGCGGCAGCCAATACCGAGAGCTCTCGCCTAGGTTAAAGGTAAGAGCTTTAAAAATTGCTAGGAGACGATAGAACATTGTTGTATTAAAAACATTTAAAAATCTTTTGGCCAACTGTATTTACTAAGTTGTCAAAAGCTTTCAAAAATGAGGTTATTAAAATAACGATAAGGAAAGGGCTGGGAAAAAACTCGTGTTGTCTCCCTGACGTTGCGCCAACACTAAATAAATAAATAATTATCATTTTAGTATAATCATCTAAGGAAAACATTATTTATAATAACTTAATTTATAACCTACTATAATATTAATGACAGGAGTTTGACACAATGAATTGGATTCCAGTGGACCAATTATTTTACATATTTTTTATTATCAACAATGCAACCTAAGTATCCTAGCAATTTAAAGAATTCCCTATGGCCATCTATTGGGATTGGCTATCGTTTTTTATTCTTATCTCGCTTATCCTTTGCGTTAGACAATTTTAATTTTCAAATATGTGTTTCACGTTACTTTCGGCACGTTCCGGTTTTCTATGTGGCGCGAGTTCTGGGACACCCTGTATAGATATATTCGGTTTTATTCTGAACGGGCTATATATATATATATATAGTATCAGAGCTGTGCGGTACTCGAGTACTTGTACCCAAATTTTGTACTTTAAGTACTTTTTTCTTGTACTCGGAACAGCTCTGTATAGTATACTATAGTAAGCAATATTCTGAACATTAAATATTATTTTTAATATGTAGTTTATTGAGTGGATTCATGTTCCGCGCATCAATGGTTACTGTTTTATTTTCTCCATGCACCTCTCCTGACTAATAACTTTGTTATTTTTCAAACTCATGGTAAAAAAACTTAAACTGAATCAGTTTATTTCCCAATTGATTGTCTAAGTCATTGTTATAATAAGTATATTATAATTCTGTTAAGTTTTAAACTGACGAAATTATCTCTTCATTACTCTTGTACCTATTCATTATTAGTGTATCCAATTTTTTAAGAAAATCAAAATGGGTATTAATTAGTTTGTATGTCTGAATTAATATGGTTAATATTTAAACGCTTGCTTAAACCACCATATAACAAATATATGAACTTCTATGCAGAAAATGACTATAGTGCGCCTTCCTTATAAGCGACAGCAACGCCTTCTAGAATAGTCTCACCTGCTCCGTGTTTTCTGTCGCATTCGCGAAACTTCTGGCTGGCAGACAGTGGAAGATTAAGCTTAACCAAATGCAAATTATAAATGATGATTACGATCACCAAACTTCTATACTTTTTATCCACAAAAACAAAAAACCTGATTTTAAAAATTCACGTAAAATCTCATCTAGACAGTGATCGTGGGACCCTTTGTAGTGCGGGCCCATAGGCTGCAAAGTAGGTAGCCAATGCTTAAGTCAGGACCTGAGACGAAAGTGAAATTTAAAATATTTTTCATATAAAATTCATAAAAATGTGAAAAAACCATTTGTAAATTAAATATTTATTTAAAAAATATCAAAATTCCTGAAAAACTTATACTTATAAAAACTTATACGAAATAGTAAAACATTGCAAATCTAGATACCTAGTAAAAGATTACAAAATTAAACAAACCATAGTTTATAGACGAAACACTCGTCTATATTTCTACACTTTACATTAAGGACGTATACAAAAATTGTATTTTTCTTTTTTTTAATAAAATCCATACAATTTCTTTTTTGCAGATTTTGGCGTACAGCGCAAAACTGGCCATTGACGAGTGCCAAAACCAATTTAAGTTCAGCCGATGGAACTGCACATCGTTTCCAGAAAAAAACACGACGTTTGGGAATGTTGTTACTATCAGTAAGTTGAATTAAATTTATCTCTCTAAAATTATAATATTAACCAGGTGCGAATTCCTCTGTGGTTCTTTTTTGGTTCATTAGTCTATCATTAAACGTGCCACGAAATGTCGTAAAGGGTACTTTATAGGCTGCCAGAGGCGTAACTAAGCAAGGTGCGCCAGTTAAAGATGTTGGATAAAAACACAAGTTTTTATGAACACCAAATATTTATTGAAGAAAGATTAACAACTTATTGCTTTGACGATCTAATCAACACTAATTACAAAAATGGATTTTATAAAGACAGGAAAAGCACAAGTTGCTTATTTAGTGGAATAATCGAAAAGTGAACAACATGGATTTATATATTTAAACGGATGTAACATGATTTTATTTTACTATTTATTATTAAGTATTTGATATGTAGGTATTTCCTTTAAGAGGTCGCTGTACTGGATGCAGGGTCGGCGTCCGTAACACCTCCCTCCTTAAGAAAAAGCTCCAGGGTTTCTCTCGTAACTCTGGGGCGATTCAGGAAGTGGTGGATCCTCTTCTTTTTCTTTACCAGAATGTATGTGAAGAACACATGATGTCGATATGCTCCAACTGATGTAGTGGCAACCGGGTGCAAATGAAGGGGTTGGATGGGTGTTATGTCGAATCCGGTGGGGATGTCCATTTTCTGTAACATAATTTTGTGTTTTGCCGGAGGCAAATTGTGTATATAAAATTCAGGTGTGACATCTTATTCTTCATTGGTACATCGGATCGTGTAGCAATCGACTGTTGTTGATTGGTTACACCGGAATGTTTTCATAGGTGAGTATACTATTCTTCCATCTGGTAAGTCGTATACAATCTCTGATTCGGCTTTGGCTGTTGTGCATCGATGTGGATTTAATATGGAACAATTGCTGATGGTTTTCTTATTGCGGAAAAAAAATGTCTTGTTGTTATCTGCTGGCAGGCTTCGAACTAATCGTTGTGGGAGTTCCATGACGTTGGTGACAGGATAAGAATTTTTTCTTCATTGGGTATTGGGAAAACTTTGATTAGAGGAAAGAATTTGATGTTAAGGATTGGAATTTTCAAAATCAATATAATTTTATGGTTAGTGTGAATTAAAATAGTTTGAGAGTATTCAAGCAGATTAGTTGAAATAATTTGATTAGGATCGTAAAATTTTTCTAATTCTTCTTCTAATTTATTAATTTCATCAGCAGAAAATAGTTCTAAATTTGTCAAATTTTTTTTTTTAAATCTTATTGTACGTAAAAGCATTAATAAAAAATCATTTACGTGTTCGATATTTGCAATATTAATTTGTGCTTCATGAATTCCTAAATCACTTTATATATATATATTTATATAATATAGATTGTGTAAATATTTTTCCAGTTGTTTATTATTATTATTAAAAGTATCAATTATTAAATGAAATCTCTCTTGAATATGCTGTGCATTTGAAATGAGTTTATTAATTTTGATTGATTGTTCGTCTGTTTTGTCCGAAATTGATTTTATATTGTTATTGATTATTTCAAGATCGTCATTAATAGTAGACCCCAAAAAATTTGCTAGTCCTCTTTTTTTTACTTGCGTCTATATCCCAAACCTATTCCCTGTCAAATGCGTTCCGTAGTTTGTCACTGTCAAGTGTTTCTTTAACAAATTTCAAAGTAAAATGTTATGCAGGTACACTGCATTGTGCCATACCAAACCAACCCAAACTTAACAACCCAACCCAACCGACCCCGCCCCGTTGGGCCCCTCCCGCCCCATTGAGCAATAGAGGTATTATATATCTAAGGGCAGGCTGGATTGTGACAATGGGGCGGGAGGGGCCCAATGGGGCGGGGTCGGTTGGGTTGGGTTGTTAAGTTTGGGTTAGTTTGGTATGGCACAATGCAGTGTACCTGCATAACCAAAATGACAGGGAATAGGTTTGGGATATAGACGCAAGTCTTTTTTTTCGAATAAATGTTAATTTATGAAAATTATTAATTGCTTCTTTAAGTTTTGTATTGTAAATTCTGTTCTATTGAATTTTATGAAGGTTAATGGAAACGGTGAATCTATGGAAATGTAAAAATTCTTGTTGGGTTCCGGAATCATAGGGATAAAACCCATTATTAGGAATACAAGAATAAGCAAGGATATAGCTGTAACAAGAAATTTTGTTTATTTACGGGGACGTTTAATTTTCCTAACATTGATGTCTTTAATTTCGTTGTCTTGATTTTTTAATAGTTCTTTTCTGTAGGGTTTTTCGTGTTTAGAAAAACTGGACTGTCAGAATTAATTTTGGGCTGATCTGTTCCGGTTTCGTTAATTTTGGCAATATTGCAATCGGATTGTTTTTTGCTTTGTATAAACTTGTTTGATAAATGGTAGAATTTCGTTTTTTCTGTCTTGATTATATTTTTCGTAAATTGTCAGATTATTGTCAAAAAGTGTCTCATGTTCGTAGGGTCCGTAGATTAGGGAAAATGGAGAGAAACCTGTGGCTGAATGTATGGATTGGTTGTAAATAGTAATGGCAGATATCATACGTTCTATAATATTTTTTTTAGAGGATTCTAAAACACGTAATTTTTTAATTATTGTAGAATGTAATGTTCGACAGGTGAGGTGGATGAAGAGTTAGATCTGGATGTATAGTGAATGTTTATTTTATGGAGATTGAAAAATTCGTTAACTACTTTATTTTTGAACTCGGCACCTTGATCAAAAACAATGTTTTTGGGAAAATTGTGGTGTGAAAAATAGTGTCTTAATTTGAAGAGAATTTGGAGTGAAGTTGAATATTTTACGTGATAGGCTTGGGCATATTTTGTGAAAGGGTCGATTATCGTCAAAAATTTATGTTTCGAATAGCTAAATATATCAATATGAAGTGTCTTAAAAGGGAGAGAAGGAAGTAAAGGACCTTTAAATGGTGTTTTAATAGGATTTCTTTCGTATTTGGATGTTAAACAGATTTCGCATTTATTTATAATTAAAGTTATTAAATTTTTCATATTTGGCCAATAATATTTTCTACGCAAATGTTCATATGTTTCATTGATTCCGTTATGATTGCCATTGTGATAATTATTAACAATTTCAGATTGATTTTCGATTCCTGGGATATCTTCAACTTTAAACTGACAAAGAATAATTTTTAGTGTTGTATTAAATAAAGATGAAATAATTTTTTCTAGAATAGGACGTACATTTTCGTCATACAGATAAATATAGTACGTCTTTTGAGGGTCAATGATGTAATGTTCCTATACGTACAAAAATTTGGTTCTGAAATTTGTTTATACATTCCTCCGAAATGGGTAAAGTACAGGAAATATTTTCCTTTTGAGAGTGGACTGTAGATTTTCCGGAAACTACGGATTTGGGTGCTTGTGGATTATAATCGGCAGGTGCATGGATAGTGACAATTTCATCAAAATCTACATTACCCATTAGTGAATCATTATCCGAGTCAGAATTGTGAACGTTAAATTGCCAGTGCGCATGCGCAGTTGTCGCGGATTGATCACGGATGAGCTCCGCGAACAAAGCTATTAGCTTTGTTCGCGGAGCTCATCCGTGATCAATCCGCGACAACTGCGCATGCGCACTGGCAATTTTAGCGTTCGCGGTGTAAAAATCGGCAACATTTGACATTTGATCACTCGTTCGCGGAGCCTTCGGGACCAGTTTCGAACTAATTACTGACAAGTCAAAACGATCCGAGGATTTTAGCATGTACTAGCTGTCAGACATGCGTATTGTTCATTATTGTTTAAAGTTTATTTTAGGTTATATGTTCTATATTGTTTTTAATTAAATTGTTAAACGAAAACGTAAGTTGAAATACTTATTTTTTACTTGCATTGTTCATTTCCTTGCTTATTTTATAGATGAGTGATCATCTATCATCCAGTGATGAAGATTTAGAAAATAGTTTAGATTTAATTGAAGTTCCTAAAAATACTGCATATTTTGAATAAATTGTTCCCATGTTCGATGATCAGCTATTTAGGGAGCATTTTCGAGTTAGCAAAGAGATTGTTGATGATTTAGCAGAGCGATTTAGCAATTCTGAATACTATAATTATCAGGAAGGAGATTCCTCAAAAAGTTTTGTCACAAAACAGCTGACTGATGGTTGTGATTAGAAACGCGTTCGCGGAGATTTGTTAATTCTTGATCGGTTCCGAATCGCGCATGCGTACCATGGTTCGTGATTATTTATCCTATACAGATACGGAACTAGTCATGGATGGGCTCCGCGAACAAAGCTAATGTCAACACGAGAGAGTGCGTAAGCGACAACATTTTCTTTACCTTTTTTATAGGAAATGGTATAGTCAAATTCGTCTAATTTGATTTTCTATCGAATTAATCGGGAATGAACCTATAGCGATATCGGATGCGTCACTTGTCAAGGTGAATGTTTTGTTAAAATCGGGATATTGTAGGATTGGTGAATGGGTAATTAGGTTTTTGCACTGTTCGAAAGCAGAAATATAACGTGGATCATGAATGTTGATTTTTTCTCCTTTTCTTGTACATTTATTAATTGGATAAACAATTTTTGCGAAATTTGGAATATAACGTCTATAGTAGCATATTAAACCGAGAAAAGATTTGATTTCTTTAAGAGATTTAGGTATGGGGAAATTTAGAATAGCGGCTATTTTTTTTCGATTTGGCTGAAGGCCTTTATCTGTTACAATGTGCCCTAAAAATTCAACCTTTTTAGTAAGGAACTCACTTTTGTCGATTTGTATCTTCAAATTTGCGGATTTTAAACATGAGAAAATTAATTTAAGGTCGTTAATATGTTCTTGAAGAGATCGAGAGAAGACGATGACATCGTCCATATATACAAAACATATGTTTGTAAATATGAGATTTTAGAATTTCGTCTATCATTCTCTGAAACGTTGCCGGGGCATTTTTGAGTCCGAACGGCATTCGGAGATACTCAAAATGACCATTTGGCACGGAGAAAGCAGTTTTGCTAATCGATTCTTCTGACATCGGAATTTGATGGAAACCTTGTGCAAGGTCCAGACAAGAAAAGTATGTGCGTCGACCCAAGTTGTCAAGAATTTCATCTATTCGAGGTAAGGGATATTTGTCTTCTGTCGTTTTTGAATTTAGAGTTCGATAGTCTATTACCAATCTATACTTCTTTGTACCGGAAGCATCCAATTTTTTGGGGACAATCCAAACTGGACTGACTGACTTGTGTAATACAACTTTTTGTAAATAAATGATTTGATTTGATTTGATTTGGACTGGAGTATGGTGATACAGAAGGTCGAATTATTTCATTATCGAGGAGTTTTTGGATTTGAGAAGAAATTTCCTTTTGCATTACCGGGGGATGTCTGAAAGATCTAGAGTAAACCGGTATGTCATCTGTCGTGGAAATATTATGTTTGACTGTCATAGTGGCCGAAAGTAATTGGTTTTCATTATAAAATATTCCCGAAAAATCTTTACATAGTTTTAAAATTTTTTCTTTTTCTTCAGAGTTCAGGTGGTCAAGTCTTAAGGTATTTACGTCTAATGGTGTTTTTTTTGGAATATTAGTTGGAATATTAGTTGAACAGGGATGATATTAAGAAAATTTACATCAATATGAGGGACTGATACGTAGCCGTTGGAAACGGTATGGATTGATTGGGGAATAACAATTTCGTGATTTTTATTGAGTATTGAGGGGAGTAAAACATCACCGTCAGAAATGGATACTGGTATTTTTGTTATTGTGGAATTGAAATATTTAAATTTAATTGAAATTGGACCGTCAGTGTGTTTTTTTGATAGTCTATATTACTTTTAAACTGTTGTAAATCATGGGATGATAAAAGGGCATCATATTGAGAATGCCAATCTATTACACGAAAATTTATAGGAAACTTTTTGCCAAAATGTTGTAGAATGGGGTAACGTAAATTAAGATTATCGGAGTAGGTTTTGGTTAGAGCTCGAATAGTAAAAGGTTCTTCAAAAAAATATTGCTCGGAAAATTTTGCGGCAGCTTGAGAGGTTATAATTGAATCCGTTGCTCCAGTATCAATTAAAACACGTAATTTTAAATCAGGTATGTCGAAATATGGTAGTCGGGGTAAATTTGCCAGGTTGTTTAAATCTATCTCGGGAATTGCAGGTGGTTCTCCATGTAAAAATTTTGAGACTGTGAATCATAGTCAGATGTTTGAAAATCGTCATGAGATTGGTCAAGATATGTGTCGTCATAATAATTTACAGAATTTTCTAAATTCGATTGTTCACAATCCAAATTCGTGTCAATAAATTCCAAATTATGATGATTGTATTGTCGCTTATTATATTGAATAGTGGTAGTTGACATTGGCTCGGGATAAGAATTTTGCTGTCGGCGTGAATTATTAGATTGAATTGTGGAAGTAGACATTGGTTGGGGGTAAATGTTTTGATGATGTTGTGAATTGTTAAAAATTTGTGAATGCTGTCTTCGAGGATTGTTTACATTAGCTGAAAAACCTGGTCTATTCTCAGAATTTTGTTGTCGCGGATATACTTGCGAATGATTAGAGAACGAATTAAAATTTGGTGTCAAATTTGGGTTATGATTATGATTTTGCGAACGATTGGGACTATTTCTAAAATTTTGCAAACGGTTAGAATTATGATTAACATTTTGAGATCGAGAATTTTGTGATTGGTAACTTAAACTTTTTCTATGTGCCATCAAATTATCGTAATCAGAACAGCGTTTTACACATTCCTCCATTGTGTTGGGGGATGTCGAACATAAAAGGTCTCTATATGGTTGATTAATGCCGGTTTTAAACGTCATTAATGCCTTGTCCGTATATATTTGTTTTTGGGCTTCAAGTATGGCTAGCTATTATGATTTTTTAATCGAGTTAACTGAAGAAGTTCATTTAATTTTAAATTTATGCGAAGATGGAAGTCTATGAAAGGTTCATTTGGTTTTTGAGTTGAACTACATAAAATTCTCTCGAGAGTTGCCTCCGATCGAATTTCACCAAATTTTGTCAGCAATTCGTGCCGAATAGTTACCCAAGTATTGAAATTACCAGGAACAAACGCCTCAAAATTATTAGAAGTTATATAGTCTTTAGGAAGTCCTTTAATTTTACCAACAATATATAAGTTAAATACCAGGTGTTGAGAATTTGTAATTGTAAATGTTCCTGGGAAAAGCGATAGTATCTTATCAACAGCATGAATGAATTCGTTCAGATTACCGTGCTCGTGGCTGTACTCAGGTATCGTTTTACAAAATAATTTTAAGTTCGTCATTAGAAATAGCAGCGGCCATGGTAATATTTGTACAAAAGTGATTATTTAAACTATGAACAGAGTGATCCGAATCTGAATCGGAATTTTCGCGGTTTCGAAAAAATAAGTCTCAAATGGTTTGCAATTCGTTTTCGTCCAGATCACTTAAATGAATTTCATTTAATGACATTTAATTTACGCGATAAGGTTTAATAAAATATGCAGCGTATACTTAAATTAATAAATAATAATGAAATGTATGCAATGTACATATAAATAATTATTATTATAAACTTCATTTTATAGGAAGCAGAGAGGCAGCCTACTTGTCAGCAGTATCAGCCGCCAGCGTTGCCTTTGCCGTCACCAAGGCCTGCTCAAAGGGCGAGCTCAGCGATTGTTCCTGCGAAACAAACAAACGACTACGAAAAAACCAGAAATGGAAATGGGGAGGGTGTTCGGAAGATATACGTTACGGACAGGACTTCAGCAAAAAGTTTTTGGACATACGCGAAGATGGAAACACCGCAGTTGGACTCATGAACTTGCACAATATCGAAGCTGGGCGAAGGGTAAAAAAAATATTTGTTGTATTTTTGTCCATAACATGTTTGATTAATAATAACAAGTGAAGATCTACATTTTACTCTAAGGTCCTATGACAAAAATCGTATTTTACCTTATTTTTTCAAATTAAATCCATAAAAAACTGCAAAAACCATTGGCAAATTAAAAAATTATTTAAAAATATCAAAATTCCTGAAAAACTAGGTATAGGCAAAGATAATCTTTGGGTATAGGTACAAAATCGAGGGGTAAACCACTGATGTTTTAAAATTAAAAAATCCCAAGGGTAGTCATGCTCTAGGAGAAATTTCTTATTGATAAGAATTTTTCCTTATTGATAATGACTGATATAGTTTTGGAGCATAGTGCATCCCGTGGGATTATTTGTGAAGGGAAGATAAAACTATCTGAAATCAGTTTTTTATACACAAGGCAGTAGTGTATTATCGGGTGTTTTGTTTAAAAATTTATCAATTTTTATGACGTCATTAATCCGATACTTAACTGTTATTTCAGGTATGCGTTTATAAAATGTCGCATGCGACATTATGCATAATTTCGTAATTAGTGGTCCTATTTAAAATAACCATAAAAAAGAAAAACAATGATTTAATACATTTTTTTTTATCTCAAATGGTTAAGAAAATATTGGCTTTTAAAACTGACATATTGTTATATTTTTATATTTTGGAAATGGATCGATTTGGATCGATTTAGAGCCATTTTGCAAGAAATTTGAACTTTTATGAGCTGTAACTCAGCTATTTTTGATTTGATTAAAACGATGTTTTTACCGTTGATGCGAAATTTAAACACCTTTCAAACCAAATATCGGGTTTGGCATATATCGGATTTGCCATACCCTCTCGATGCTGATTTAAGTAAAATCTTAAATTAAAAAACAAAAATATACCTACCGTCATCTAGGTGAATGGCCCAAATAAGAAAAAATGATTAAGTTTTTTGTGTATAGCAAAAATCCCCCTAAAAATAAAAAAAAGTTTCTATTTTTCCTTGTAAAAGAGTGTAATAAATTATAATTAACAGGAAATGGTAATTAAATAGGTAATAGTAAATATTTTAAAAGGAAACTGTAGAAATTAAGTATTTAGAAATTAAAAATGCTTTTAAATTCAATAAAATACTATATAAAATCAAACTTAAACACAAAAACATACCTTAAATTAAGAAAAACAGCAAAAATGTATTAAAATCGTAAAATACTTTTGACAGTTCCATGTAAACATAAATTGATAAAGTCAAGGCACACTTAATTTATAAGCAACCAATGAAACTACTTAAATTTGCTAAAACAGTTTTATTTCAAAAAAGTGACTGTTGCTAGAGGCTAAAAAAATTGATCAAATTTGACGGCCCATAAAATTATACAATTGTTTCGATATACGGTCATATGACAATCAAAAAATGTCAAATGTAATTTATTTCAAAGGGCACAATAAAATTAATTATTTGGCATTTTATAAATGAATGTCGAAAATGGTGGACATTTTTGATTAGAAATGCCATAACCACCACCAGACATATTTTCAAGGTAAACACCCGGTACCACACAATTCAAAAAGGTATAAAAAAGATATCCCATATAGTCCCATCATCCCTTCATAACAAATCCCACGGAGAATATTTTATTGCTTTATGCTCCAGGAAACACAACGTCTACATATTATATGGACGTTGCCTTATAACGTTAAACGTTGGTCTCGCTGATTTTAAAGTTTACCCCTCGTACGAAATAGTAAAAAAATTAAAATATATAAGGTGAAAGATGGCAAAATTTAAAAAATACAAAGATAGTTGGAGTAAAGAGTTTATAAGCAAAGAATACTTCTATATTTCTACATTTTTTTAAAGGTGGTATGGCAAAAATCGTATTTACATTTTTTTTATAAAACCAATAAAAAACTTCAAAAACCATTAGCAAATTAAATAATTAATAAAAAATCTAAATTTTTTTAATTATTTCGTATAGTTTAAACTATACGAAATAATTAAAAATTTAAATATATATATATATATATATATATATACCTATATATATATACCTATAAATGGTATGTTTTGAAGCCCGGAGACGGATGGGTCGCTTCGGAGCCCTGCAGTTGCTAGTGGTTTAGGCGTGTATACTTATCTTCTATCTCATTTAAATCATTAAAAACCTATAGAGGGAAAAGACGAGGGGTAAAGATTTCCCTATAGGATTGTCGGTAGAAACATTTTTGTTCTTGTAAAGCCCAAGCATATATTATTAATACGTTGAAAAGCCCACTAGTATAAAAATATATACTGATTAATCGCTGTAAAGCCCAGCGGTGTTGCCAATTCTACCCGTAACAAATCTATTTTTAGATTCAAGGTCAAGCTTTAAATATTCGTTAATACTCTGCATTTGTGGTTTCTTAAATTTACGGGCTTGTCATAGTAGTGTTCGTGTATAGTATTTGCTGGAATACTGAAATACTATAATAATAATAATAATAATTTTATTTTCACAAATTAAAGCTGATTACATACAATCACAGGTAATAAACAACTTTGAAGATGAAGAACGTCAAGCTAAAAGAAACAAAAAAAAAACAAACAATATTAAGAAAAAAGAACAGAGAACTAACAGCTACATATTTAACAGAAAATATAGTTTACCAGAATTCATTCAAAGAATATGGTTCCAATTCAACCAAATAGGAAACAACAAGGTTTTTATATTTATTTGCGTTTTTTGTTTGTTTAATGTTATTAGGCATCCTATTGTAGGCTCGCAAACAAGAGTAGTAACTTCCTTTCTGAAATTGATTTAACCTGTGTTTGGGGAAATTGTAGTTTAAAGTTCTGTCACTAGCACCTTTCATTTGTAAGAACAAATTACTGTGATTAAAAACAAAGATCAGTAGTTCATAAATGTACAAAGCAGTAACAGTCATAACATTGCATCGCCTGAAGTGACCTCTACACGATTCCGTATACTTTAAACCCAATATTGTCCTCATGGTGCGCTTCTGAATAGCAAAAATCTCTCGAATAACCGAGTGTTGCCCCCAGAAAATTATACCGTATTTAAGTATGGATTCAAAATTTGAGTAGTAGACTATCTTCAGGGTTTCATAATCCAGATATGGTTTCAGTACCCTAAGCATGTACAAGGCCGCAGTCAGTTTTTTACAAAGTGTTTCTAGCTGATATTTCCAACTAAGATTTTCGTCTAGAATCAGACCAAGAAACTTTGTTTGCTCGGTGGTGTTGACAATGACGTCATCAAATGGTACATGGCAAGGTGTGATAAAATTAGATTTAAGTGTTTTGAAATAAATTATGTTGGTTTTTTCTTTATTCAAAATAAGTTTGTTTTTCGTGAACCAATTTAGCAGTTTTTTAATGTTTTCTTCCAACATTATCATAACTTGGTCTAAACTTTCAGCTTTTAGAATCATGTTAGTGTCGTCTGCAAAGTTAACTAAATTACCAAATGCCACAGATGACGCCATGTCATTTACGTAAATTAAGAATAACAACGGCCCTATAACACTACCCTGAGGAACCCCCAGGGGTACCAAAACCGGATCTGAAACGTCAGTATTACCATCCTTCGTTACCTCAACAGCCTGCGTCCTCATGTTTAAAAAAGACCGTATCCAGCGCAGTGCATTTCCTCTCACCCCATATTTCTCAAGCTTGGTAGAAAGTATTTCATGATCAATGGTTTCAAAGGCCTTTATAATATAGTATAATACTAATAATTATAATTATCCCTAAAATTTCACAATTTAAAAAAATGTACTTTAGAATTAAAAAAAAGTTCTTCAAGATAACATAAAATCTCAGAATCTTAAGTTTATTATTGATAATTTATCCCAATAAACATGTAATAAATATAATAAAATTAGAATTATAGCTTTTATTATATAATTTAGAATAATTATATTATTAAGTATTATTACTGCAATATAAAAATAATAAATATACAAAAATCTTCTTATTTATTTCTATACAAATTAATTTATATGAGTATAATTGGCTTCACCAGTATTTTTTTAACTAGACATTTTTCCTTTTTTAAATCCAGTGTAAAACTGTTTACTTATGTGGTATTTTTGACAAAATTTACTTATATTAATATTGCTAATTAGCAAAACAACCATACATAAATGTAAATATTTTTATTGCAGTTTTTATTATTTTAAATATCTTGAAATCCTATAGAACACTAAGAAAAAATTAATATTGACAGATTTAACGTTTGCAAAATACATTTTAAGTATAAAATAAAGAACGACTTACATTTTTTAAGGCATATCTGACTTTAATTTCTTGCAATATTTTTTTTTCTAACATTCGCTTTTAGTCTATTCTTAATGAAACCCAAAACTTATGTATTTATTCCTTTATTTGTAAAACCAGAACATTTTGTAAAAGTATACGATCTGTAAAATAACCATTACTAAACATTTTACCATTAATATTTCGTAGGTATTGATTGTTAAAACTTTTAACTTTTTAACTTAAAAGTAATGAATCCTAAATATTAATTATTGATATTTTATTTTATCTACTTCTCTATTGACGACCTGTGGCTTTATGGCATTTTAGTCCCGAGCTGAAGTTAGCAACAGTGCCTTTTAAGTTAACTATATTATAAATTTAGAAAATGTGAGGTTTAAATCCGGGTGACAGTTGACAGATGTCAAATTTTTAACAAATAAAATTCGCCTTAAATTTTGTTTTGTGTTCGTCGTAGATAGAGTATAGTATGTAACTCGTTCATAAACTTCTTTTGACACTAGTTTTTATTAAACACTCGCTCGCAAGCTTCGCTCTTGCTTAATTAAACTCGTAACTAAAATATCGTTTATAAAACTTGATACATAATATACTATTATAGTAATTACTATAAAATAAAATATTAATAATTAATATTTAACGTGTCATTATTAAGTTAATAATTATAATTTATTACTTTTTTAATTTAGAATACATTTCAATAATAGTTTTAAGTTATATTAAAACTTTTCACAATATATTATTAATTTGTATTTAATTAATATACTAAAAGTGTGGAAGCAAATTCCCAATATTATTTTTCTATGTAGTCGGCTACAGGTTCGGATTTAGGAATTTGGCGTGTCTATAATATAGAAATAAGACATGAGACAATCTGACTTTATAGCTAAGAGAGAGTGCGTTTAATCGTTCTTCAACAAATTTTTATCTCAAGTAGTTTTTCACTTCATCATCATTTTATTCTTAAACATTCTATATTTTAAAATTTTTTAATTGAAGACACTTGTCACGAAGTGTTTATTCAAGCAATGCATGCAAAAATTCTCGGTTATTTTTTATCAAGAACTTTGTATGCTATACTAATTTAGAAAAAATTCTGTCCAAATTCATCCAAAGTATTTAGTTACCCCTAATTTTTTCCGTTCTAGGCAGCTGCCTACGTTGTCTGTTCGGTAAATCCGGCCCTGGTCGGCTATCTTTTGCATTTTGTTGGTTATCGTTTAATTCGGTTAAATTAATTATTATTATTTAATTGTGCATATTTAATGGTAAATTCAAAATAGTTAACTATCATTATAGTGTAGTTATTAAACTCAAGTTTAGATCTTCCTTCATTTTGTAATTACTATTTTTCAGTAAAGGCATAGTTGCCAAACAACACTTATGCTAAATATATGAAAATTATTACTAAACCCAAAAGCGCCCACTCCTAAAATATTAAAGCTGTCCCCAAATTACTAAACTTTTTAGTAACCATTCCCAAAACTGTTCTCTCCGTGCATATGCATAAAATGACATGTAGAATCTATATTATAGATATTATCAAGTTTACCCCTTAAGGGGTAAGGGGTTAGGTGTTTTCTATAAATTTGAAAAATATATTTATTGGCCGGTAGTATTTTTTTAAACTACAATCGAATATTTTTAAAAATGTTCTTGTTTAGAATATTAACCAACAGGGGTTTGTGAGCATATAGACTTTCAAAATGTGTCACATTACTGAAAAAAACAATTTTTAGTCTCTTTTCTTTAAAACGAATATTTATCACCTATTTTAGGGTAGTGCAAAATTTGAATATATTTAAAATTGAAACGCCTGAATCATTGATTAATAACTGCTCCTTCACTCAACGCCTGTATATAAAAAATTTTGTATGATAAAAGTAAATATTATGGTGAAAAAATATATATTAATATATTTTTAATTACAATAATCGCTTAGACTATGTAGGGCAATATTTTTACCTGTCATCTGCCAAAAGTAAACCAAGGGCTCTGAGCTTTATTTGACAATTTTTAGCCTATCTAGAGTAATTGTTTAGAAAATTGGACTAGTACAAATTGCAGCGAATATGGCACTAGTGCTACCAGGTAAATATTTTTCAATTTTTTTATTATTTTTTAATCATTTGTTCGATAAAATTGTCCTCCAAATACAACTCGCAATTAAAAATATTATATTTTATATATATTTTACATATATTTTAAATATATGTCGAATATTTTAAGGTGTGTAATAGCAAATATTATTTGTAGTTGCAAATAGTACTCGTGGTAATTAATTAGGGGGCATCCATTAATTACTTGAGGCCATTTTGATTTTTTAGTACTATTTACTAAACAGTTCTCTATACATGGTTATTAATTGCTATAAAAGTTAGCCACTTTTTTGTAAAACCAGAACAACTTTTGTAATACTTTACTAACTTTATAACAATCATTACTAACAGTTTGGGAATAATAGTATTGGTAATAAATTATGTATATTTTTTATTTTATCCTCTTTTCCACCACTTTGCCCCTAGGGGATCCATGCAAATATATAAATCTGTTATAAATTGAATACACAAATCCACGAACAAATAATTGTAATTACTTATTTTAGCTCCTCTGCCAACCTCGCAAATTTATTAAAAATAAAATAAATTTATAATTGAATTCTGGAACCAAATAATAATACATATTTACAGGAAACCCAAAAAATTAAAAAAAAGGTGTAGTTCCGCGGTTTTAAAAATTGTATGTCGCTTTTGACTGCAACAGCAATTTATAGATCAGTAAACTGCTACAATAAAATATCCTCTAACATACATATAGTGCTTTTATGATTAATTTCTAAAGCCGCCGTATATTTATAAAAATATATTGTACGCGCGTTGTCGGGCCCAGCAGTGTTGCCAAGTTTAGGGGCTGATAACGATACGTTAATATAAATGTATAAATATATACTCAGAAGCGCCCCCTACAGTGAAATTCTCCAAACTTTTTGTATAAATGAATGCATAAATGGTACTTTTTGAGGCCCATCAAAAATTTTAACAGGAGGGTGCAGAAAGAAAGGAGAATCGAATGGCTACTATATACTCGGGCTCCGTTGTAAAGCCCAAAGCCGGGTTTTATAACGTCGCTTTGGGCTTTAAAACGTATTAATGTTATCTTGTGCGGGCCTGTATAAGAGCGAATATACGTCTATATATATATATATATATATATATATATATATATATATATATATTACTATCTATAGATAGTAAAATATGGCAAAATTAAAAAAATAGAATAATAGATGGAGTGAAATGTATATAAAAAGAAGAAGCACAGATCTATCATCCAAAACTGTATATTCTAACGTCCTAAGGCAAAAATAGTAATTTTTCAATACATTTTTAGGCTGTCCGAACAAGAATGACAAGAGTGTGCAAATGTCACGGAGTTTCTGGATCATGCAGCATGCAAATTTGTTGGAGGAAACTCCCGAACTTCAAATTAGTCGGAGAAGGTTTATTTCAACGATATGAAGGATCTTCCCACGTAAAATTTGTGGATAAACGTCGCAGAAAATTAAGAATCATAAATCCGGACTTCAAGAAGCCCAACAAAACTGATCTAGTGTTCCTGGACGATTCGCCGGATTATTGCGAGAAAAATGACACGTAAGTGCTCACTAGACGGCTTGTTGTTTTTATACCTTGATGTTGTTTACTATGACCGTCAACACTTATGTTGAAAAATAAGTAAAAAATCCATTTGTTTCGAATTATTTAACATTATTTCTGCTGATTTAATCACGGTGAGCCTGAACGAAGTTTAAGTCACATAAAAATGCCGCTAAAAACTGATTGCAGTTTCTTGTTCGGGACCCTTTGATGACTTAAAAATGATATTTACCAAAATCCTAGCTGCTCCTCTTTTTGAAAATTCCTAATTTTTTTTTAATTTTTTTTCTCTTACTTTTGACAGAGATTTTTATAATATTGAAGTATATTGTTAACGAGACTTGGAGAATACTGTTTTCATACTGAGCACATCATTAGATTTATACAGGGTTAGCCAAAAATCACTTTTTTATATAGTTAAAAGCATAATGAACCAAAAAGATTTATCTCCAAAAAATGTTATTTTATTTAATTTTATTCAAAATCAATTTTTCTTATAAAGTCTTAATAAGAATCCCATTTTGTAGCCTGATAAAGATATCTGAAAAAACATGGGTGGGTATATATCTTTTTTGCGTGTTATGCCAAAATCATGAATTTACGCTTTTGCTTTATTAAAAGAAGCGATTTTTGGCTAACCCTGTATATATTAAATGATGTGCACAGTAGGGTGGAGCTAAAAAAAAATTTTTTTTTCCTTTTCAAAAAATGTTATTTTATTTAATTTTATTCAAAATCAATTTTTCTTATAAAGTCTTAATAAGAATCCCATTTTGTAGCCTGATAAAGATATCTGAAAAAACATGGGTGGGTATATATCTTTTTTGCGTGTTATGCCAAAATCATGAATTTACGCTTTTGCTTTATTAAAAGAAGCGATTTTTGGCTAACCCTGTATATATTAAATGATGTGCACAGTAGGGTGGAGCGAAAAAAAAATTTTTTTTTCCTTAGCCTGGGGGTGGAATTTGTAGCTTATAAAAAAAGAAAATTTTTGAAAAAAAAAAATTTTACTCAATGTCACTGATTTTTTAAATTAAATTTAAGTTAAAATTCTTTTGAATAAAAAAAAAATTTTTTGGCTTGTAATCTTCAATTTTATCTAAAAATAAACAAATTTGATCGTGTTCAACTCGAAATTCGCTCTATTGCCTCAGAAAAGCATGTTACTATTTTGGAATTTTTTTTAAAACAACAATAATGACCACAAACATTTTTTTAAGTTCATAACTGTTAATGAGCAAGAAAAAGGACACTTCGCAGTTTACAAGCCAAAAAAATTTTTTTTTGTTCAAAAGTATTTTAACTTAAATTTAATTTAAAAAATCAGTAGGCCACCTCAAGACGTTGAGTAAAATTTTTTTTTTCAAAAATTTTCTTTTTTTAAAGCTACAAATTCCACCTCCACTCTAGTGCACAGTATAAAAAAGTATTCTCCAAGTCTCCTTAACAATATACTCCAATATTATAAAAATCAGTGTACAAATGTGTACTCTGTCAAAGGTAGACTTTAAGATAAACAAAATATAAAAGAACCTAAAGGATTTAAATTTAAAAAGCATATATATGCATATGTCGTCTTGTGTGGCGAATTTTATTGAATAAACAATGATATATCGTGATATTTTTTCTTTTTTCTGTGATATGTATTATATTTAAATGAAATGTTCCTATTTAGAATTAAAATGTATTAATAAAGTAAAATTAATTTAGATTTAAGAAATGTATTAAGAATTAAAAAATATTTATTAAATTGTATGATTAGAGGTGTCCCTCTATAAACTGTATGTTTCTTGGGATGAAAATAAAGTATTTTATTATTTATTATTATTATTAAAATTTAAAATCATGAATTTTCAAAAAAATTCGAAAAGAGGAGCAGCTAGGATTTTGGTAAATATCATTTTTAATTCACCAATGGGTCCCGAACAAGAAACTGCAATCAGTTTTTGGCGACATTTTTATGTGACTTAAACTTCGTTCAGGCACACCGTGTAATGTTAAAGATTTCTAATAAAAATCACAAAACAAAACTAAATATTCCGTATTTTAGTAAATAAATATTTTATTAGGTAGGTAATTTTTGTGGTCACTGTATGATTTATAATAAAATTTTATGTACAAAATATAGTTAGGGCACAACCTTACTCACAATACCCCTTGACACCAAGGTACTATGCTCCCACCACGTGACTACGTAAGAAAGGCAGTCTTTTGAAAATTTGGCATTTATAAATGAAAGCCTTATAAGGCTTTTCAGGTTATGTCAAAGTATAGTCAATGAAAGAAATAATTTGTATACTGTTAACGCTTATTTTTAAGAGTTAAAAGTTTATAAATCTTTATAGTATCACAATAAAAAGGGTTGGTTTAAGAATTTAGGAATATAAATACTGCATTTAATGGAATTCCAAAATGTATTGTGCCAAATAAGTAATATTTTGAGCATTTGGTCTACATACCTCCATAAAATATTTTTAACTAAACGGCATTTATTAGGATAATATACAAGGTGTCCCAAAACTTATTGGCATAAATTTAGGAAAAGATTGAGCAAGTCAAAATAAGACAAAAACCTAAATAAATATTTTTCCTAATTACTTATGTTTCCAAGATACAGGGTGATAAAGTGTTACCTATCATATCAGTTTTTTTAATATAACTTCTACTATGGTAGTCATGGAAACGTGATATATTGCGAACATTCACTTACTACCAAAACACATATTCACACATAATTACAATTGTTTGAGTTAACACAGTGTCGTAGAAACGGGGGTTGCTTTAAGCTTATTGTCCCATACAAACTTTGAGGTTAGGTTTTTATAATATTTGATACAATTTTTCGATTACACAATTCGGCTACCATCAAAAAGGTATACCTCTCAAACTTCGATAAAATAAACCGTTTCCGAGATATTCGAGATAACTTTTCAACAGTTTGAGGGAAATTTTGAATTTTTATATGCTTTTTTATTTAAGTCAAACTTCTAAAATTTATAATTTTTTTTAATAGTTTATATGTTTTTTTTATATATATTGATAAGTTTCTTAAAAGTTTCAAATTTTCTGTAGTAAATTTAAAACTTGGGAATGCTCAGAATTTTACTAGAATTCAAAAATACAATACGGCGTGTTTATTAAAAAAACGAGTTTGTTATGAAAAATCAAGGTTATGGCCAGAGCCGGCTTAAAGCAATTGAGCGCCTTAGGCACTTAAAAATTTGGCTCCTCTAACTAGATACTATACTTACGGGGCCCGGGGCAAATTTTAAAAAAGGTTATTAGAGCCACCCCAAACTGTTAGCTTAAGGGCGCCCGAGCATTATAACCTAATTATTACCTATGAAATAGAATACTTTTTATCATTAAAAAAGTACATAAAAAACATAAATATCATACAAACATAACAAATATAATGTAAATAAAAAGTGTTAGGACTTATTAGTGCGTTTTTCTGCAAGATGTCATTAGTAAGAATTTGTATGTTAGATGTACTGCTGGTTTATTGTAATTAGTTTAATATTAAAATTTTAGAAATACCTTAAAACAAACAGAAAAATTAACACTATCTAAATGTGGATTTAGCCAGCATTTTGTGTAACGTAATCTAACGTAACGTAATTTAATTTAAAAGCCAGGCTAAATCAACTTTAACTATCGAACACAGACTGCTATCACCAAACACGCAACACATAGAAGTGCCACTCTTGAATAAACGCGAAAACACCCAAGTCCTTCCGGCAGCAGTTTCCTCTAGTATCGCGTACCCGCTGGGGTGAGCCGCACATCACAGCGGGTACCCGATGCAAGAGGAATCCGTGTGCTTGGAGCATACGGGGGTTTTGAAATAGTTTAAAGAGTGCTAAAGATATGTTTATACAGGGTAAAGTTTACAAATTAAATGATCTTTTAAGTTTTTGTTTGCAGTTTAACGTTAAGATTTTTTTTTATTTGTTAATTATACAGTTAATAATAAAATATCTTATTCTACTTCAAAACGCAGTGCCCTCGTAATCAAGCATGGTGATATAACACCTGATTAATTTTATCTGAAATACATTTATGTTTTTGGCATAAAAACAGAAGTGAATTTGCGGCACGCTTTTTTGTCGGCTTTACACCTCGTTATTAAATAGGAAGCTAAATTTTTATAAAATAATAAAAACAATAAATAATATTCTGTTATTACAATTGTATATTGTTTGTTTTATTTTTGGAAAAAATAAACATTTTGGTAACAATTTTTATTTTTTTAAGATGCTTGGGGACAAGGCGCCTATTTCTTCGTGGCGCCTAAGGCAATTGCCTTGCCTGCCTAATGGGTAGGTAATATGGCCCTGGTTATGGCTGTCTTTTGGTTTTGGTTTAAGGGATAATGTATGTCTATTTTTACCACTGCTCCTTAAAAGATTCGGTGGAACTTAATTTTAAAGTAACAATAATTATTGTTATAATCGATTAACCGTAATAGGTATTTATTGAGTAAATAAACAATAAAGGTTGGTCAGCTTATCTTTATTTGAAAACAAATTAATTATAGCATTTAAATAATGCTATTGCCCTTTAAGGGTGTTACATAAGATGCGAATCTTCGAGCTAGAGTAGTTCTAACTTATTTTATAAAAACGTTTTTAATGAAAGACCAGAAGTTAAATGCAGCTTCTGAAATGCCTAAGTTTTGTGGGCACAAAACTCAAGATGCATTTTTTTATCTGTAAAGGCCAGAAAACGGGGAGTTTTTGCCATTTTCCCAACATTTTATTAAAATGGATATAGCCGGTTTTGCACGGATGCTCCTCAAATATAAGCGGAAACAGTATAAATTTTATTTCTTTCATTGACTTTACTTTGACAGATACATAACCTGAAAAGACTTAAATGCCAAATTTTCAAAAGACTGCGTTCCGTACGTAGTCACGTGGTGGGACTTTGAGGTGTGGAGCATAGTACAAAGCCTACAGGCTGATATATATCTTACTTATTTTTTTTAGGTTAAACATCCTGGGCACGCGCGGGCGCGAATGCAACCGCATGTCACAAGGCATCGACGGCTGCCGGCTCTTGTGTTGCGGCAGGGGATACCAAACAAGGGTGCGCGAAGTCGAAGACAAGTGTAAGTGCGCGTTCGTATGGTGCTGCAGCGTGAAATGTGATATATGCCGGTCCAGACGCGAGGAACACGTTTGCAACTGAAGGAAATTTAATGACAACTGAATTTAACGAACCTGTCAAAATTTTGAGTGCGCTTTATCTATTAACACTTTTCTCCAAGGCCCCAACTTTTTTTAATTTTGCCCTCTTTTACTATCAAGATTTGCAATGTTTTACTATTTCGTATAGTTTTTCAGGAATTATGAAATTTTATATTAAATATTTAATTTGCCAATTGTTTTTAAAAAAATATCGTAAAATACGATTTTTGTCATACGACCTTTAATAGAGTAAAATGTGTAAAGATATATGTACTTAAGTGCGCTTTATCTATGGATTTTATATAAAAAAATATCGTAAAATACGATTTTTGTCATACGACCTTTAATAGAGTAAAATGTGTAAAGATATATGTACTTAAGTGCGCTTCATCTATAAACTCTTTACTCCAATTGGACTTAAGTCCCCAACTTAATTTTGCCATTTTTTACTATTTCGTATAGTTTTTCAGGAATATTGATATTTTTTATTTGGTTTTATGGTTTTTGGAGATTGTGGAAGTTAAAGAAAATAAAATGACGAATAAATGAATTTTAACGAGCTGTCAAAGTTTTGCCATTTTACCATTAATGTTGAATTTCATAAAATAATCTCAACAGAAAGTAAGTTTTTTGGAAATATTTTTGTTAATTCAACAGTCTTTTAGGTTTCCCGGACAGTTTCCGAAATTAACATTTTCCAAATATCCAAAATTCGTAAAAAAAAGCCCGGATTCGATAATCCGGTTTGCTATTTTCCGGAACAAATTTCCGGAATTGACATGTTAACAATTGTTGCATGCTATAGACTTTGGTTTTTAACGTTGTTATTGTATTTGTTTATTAAAGACTTAAAATTTGTTTTACATTATGTTAAATAATCGTTATAAGAATAAAAAATAAACGTAAAAATGGTTGTAAAAAAGTTATCTATCGATTGATATTGATACAAGCGAGCAAAGAGTGAAAACAATATGCACCTTCAATTTGGAACCAATATCAAGCAGCTTTGGAAAAAAGCTATAAAACAAATAATCTAAGTAAAGGCTAGTACAATAGTTTTTAACTAGTTATTAACAAAAATCATCCTAACCTATACTCGGCTTTAAAAGAATTGATAAAAGAACAAGCAGATACAAAAATAACTATTGGGCGATTCCATGATTATAAGGTATACCTACTAACGGGACAAAAAGAAAGAAGACAAAATGTTTTATAAATATTTTTGAAGAAGTTTTGTTCCTATAACAATAATTTTATGATAGTTATTATTACTTAATTTTATTGCTGAAAACTATCATAATATTATTATTATAGAAACAACACCCATTAAGTTATAAAGAGTCGAACAACATTAAAATCTAATTTTTATATCTTTTCTTACTTCAAATTAACATAATTACACAATATAAATATTACGAAATTACTTGAATCTCGTATAATGATAAATCAGGAATAAAGTGATTCTAGATTTCATAAAAAGGATTTACGGATTTTGGATCTTCCGAAAAATGTTAATTCCGGAAATGGGTGGAAACGGCCTTTTAGTATTTCTCAAAAACGGCTTTGTAAAGATATAATAAGTATATTATTTAACATTTTATGTGCAAAATAAGATCTACAATTTTTTGATTGGAGATCGTTATATTTTACATCAAAAAGGTTCCTTATAGGTAATTCTTTCGCACGACAAACCGTTTTTTAAATTAAACTTTTTAAATTAAACTTAAAAATACATACAGCGTGTCATCAAATAAGTTTAAGCCAAAGCAAGCAACTTTGTCCTCTTTTACATTACTGTCCTACAACGCTAAAATGCAGTATATAAAATTTAAGTATTAAATGAAAGTGAAATTGTAGCGTTGTAGGTCAGATTATTGTTACTGTTTTTGAATTAAAAACATGTTAAAATTTTTCGAGAAGCCCATATTTTGTTTAATCCATTACATGTACTCATGTATCCACCTCAAGGAGATGTCGTTGACTGATCTAGTCGGTTGGACCACATTTGTAATTAAGCTGACAGCTTAATTACAAATGTGTGTGTGAGTAGCGACTGTTAGCCGTTTGGCAAGTAGTTGAGTCTGTAATTCTGATTTATTATTGTTTTTTTTATAAAAATACTAAAAATATTTTGTATCCATCAAAAAATAAATTTAAAGTGCCAGATTTCTTACTTTGGAGTCTCTGGAATACTCGAAAAATATAGGTGGTAGATCTACTAACTTTTCAATGTAAGATTTGTTGGAAACTACCAACTTTTAAAATTATATCTACCTCCTAGACCGATTTTGGGTTGGCAACACTGAGTTGAGTTACTCCATAGAGATTCAAACACAAAAGAGTGCTCGATTGCCTGTTAGAAGTGGGGAACATAATTACGGTGGCGACTCTAGTGGCTACTGGAAGAACCAGCTTGAAGCGCGGTACATTTAAACTTAAATATTTTAAATAATTTTGTTTTGTTTTCTCTGGTAAACCAATGTGACATAAACTTATTTTTTACTTGTTATCTGTTGTCTTTATAGTCTCTGGTTGTGTTTATGCTGTCGTACGGTATTTCATGAATTTAATGCTGCTAATTAAAATACGTTTCCACTTGCAGATTAATTGGTTAACTTGGGTTGTTTAATCGTATAATAATTCGTATGGTATATTAATTATTACACTTTGTACTGCATACTTTACGAGAAAATTATTTTAGAAACTAGCTATTGTTTGTAAAATTTTCATTAAGAAATTTAACACATATTATCTCTTCAAAGTGTCCAATGCAGCTTAAACATCCCAAGTAAACTAATTAATTAATCTGCACGTAAAAATGTATTTCAATTAGCAGAATTAAATTCATAAAATACCAAGCACGGCAGCCAAACACAACAAAACAGTTTGTTTTTCGATAACGGCAGCATAAACACAATCAGAGACTCTGAACACAACAGGCAACAAGTAAAAAGTAAGGTTGTGTCAAGTTGTTACCAGATACAACAAAACGATCATTTAAGATATTTAAATTTGTATGTACTGCGCTTTCAACTGATTCTTTCGGTAGCCACCAGAGCCGCCACAGTAATTATGTTCCCCACTTCTAACAGGCAATCAGGCACTCTTGTCAAGAGTCTTGTGTATGTTTCTATCATGTTACTCGCCAGATGTTCGCGGAATAATCACCAAACGTAAAGCGAGTTCACGTTTAAACTTACCAACAAAATAGTTGGAAACACCCTAAATCTTGGGAGCACTAAAAACAGCTGTTTTTGAAGAAGAATAAGAAGAAAAACTGCTTTTTAATAAACAATTTTCAAGTACACAGTTTTATGTTCTGTGTGGATTGACAATCCAGGATTGTGAAAATTGAAACAGCATGAGCATGTTGAGCACGGCGGCTTTGCCACGAAAAGGCTGACGACGCTCATTTTTTTTTATACTAAATTGTGATCTTTTTGTGCTACCTTGCAGCAGTATTCCGTAAGTTTTTCAAACGAAAATTATCCCCGTTTGAGTTTTTTTTTGTATTCTTCTAATAAATACTTGAGTGTTTTTTGCATTTTCTAAAATTCGGTCTCGTATTATTGATACTTATCGATAAGTATCAATACATTTTTATTGATATTAACACACATATGTTTAATAATTATTGCTTGCAACTTGGTCTACTGTACTCAGCGTTGCCATTCGTACGGTAATTACCGTATTTGTACGGTAATTTGAATAAAAATACGGTATACGGTACAAATCTCAATACCGTACACAAATGTACAGTAAATTTACTAACTGACATATTTTCATACATAATATTATTAACAATATTTTTTTATTTTTGGTGTTTTTGTTCTATTTGTTTATTGTCTATAGAAAAACCTCTATGGTCCTTTCCTTCTTTTGTCTATGGTTTTTCTACACATTTAAACACATACTTCCACCTTAGATCATCCCCTTGTATGATCTAAGACTTCCACACAGTGGAAGTATGTGCATTTAAATTAATATAGCGTCATCTCGGGTTCAGCTGCATAAGAGAATGATGATGAGTTTTTAATCGAATAATAATAATATTATTATTAATTTTAAGTTTCATTTGCCCTGTGATTTTTGTTATTTATGATTTTTACGTATTCCAAAAGTCCAGCTCATATATCTAGGATTAGAATGAAATTCTTGGAGAAAATTATGGGCTGCATTTTTGAGTTGTTTTGTTAAATGTTTTTTATTTAAATTAATTAATTAATATTTTTTAATTTTGTTGCTTTTATATTTTATTTAAATTTTTTAAATGTACGGTAATTTTTTCTTAAATACGGTAATTTTTACCAAGCAGGTACCGTAATTTCATTTTGATCATCTGGCAACGCTGACTGTACTTCCATGTAATTCGGTACATTGGTAGGTAATGGATTAAAAAAACCTGTAGCATTGCAAAAAATTTCACCTGATTTTTTTATTCAAAAACAGTGTCACTAATGAAAAAGTAATATGTTTTTTCTCCATTATTGCTTAATAAGGCGTGAACAAACATCCCCCCAATGGATTACAACTTATTACATGATACCCCGTATAATACTTAAAATTTATAAAAATAGGCAAAATATTTTTGGGTTCTACGAAAAAAAATTATAAGTATGACATTTTTTGATTTACAAACAAAATTTTTTTTATTATGGGATAAAATTAAAAATAAGCAAAATATTCCCAAATCACTATTTTTTTAAATCATTTATAATAACACATATTACTTATTCTTTTATATTTTAACCATTTTTGTACCTGATATATTACTTTTAATGATCATTTATGGAGACTATACTCAAAAACGCTTGTTTTTTATTTAAATATGTCTTTTTTAATTGCTTTAAATTGTTCATCTCATTATCGTATCACCCATCTTGTATATTTATTTTTACTGCACCTAGTACATAAAATAGTATTTAAATGTGAAATAATATGTATTGAAATTTATATATTTAATTTGCACCAATAACATTCTTATATATGGCCATAAGAACAACACTTTTTAGTGACTCGTTAAACGTTGCAACGCGTTGACTACATTGACATAGGTATGAGGAGTGATTTTTTAAAAGGTCGTATTTCCATTTGCAACAATTTTTCAAAAAAATGACTATAACCTGTATAGGTTAGGGCAATATAGATTATTTA